GAGTGCACAGTTTCCTAACGGCCCTGTTTGCACTGATTAGTTGCTATCGTGATCTGCTCTTGAAGGCAGAGCGTCCTCCAATTTCCGACGAGTTTCGCCGTTGAAAATGTCATGTTTGTAGCTCTCTACGATCCCGCAGTCATTGCGTGCAGAACTACCAAATGCCAGAGAAGCAGGGAATAACGAAAGCGCCAGCAATGCCATATACTCCGTTCTCGGCGGCGCTGGCCCAAGAAGAGATTCTTCATTAAAATGCTCCGTCCATTGTGCTCCATGTCCGGCGCGATAAGCGGGGGAAGCTGCGCAGCGGCATTGCTGTTCGACGTTCCTGCGGAGAGCCTTGCCAGCCGTGACAGAGGCCGCGCCTTGTGTCAAACTACGTCAGCGCTAGATTTGAAGATATTGAGGTCACTCACATTCGTGCCTGCTGCGGCTGCTGCACGCGGAGAAGCGGCTGTGCACTTCTTGCCCGTTTACTCCCGCTGCACACACAGTGACGGTGCTCGAATGAGCTTCTATCCAGGCCACTATTTTAACAGAGGCGAACTGCTGAAGGTATTTATATCTATAAGTGCACTTTAAAAGGACAATAACGTGTAACCGAGAATCGGCTGAGATTGGTAATGCCGTCAGTTTCAGCACAATCGACGTAAAGCTTTCCATTTTCAAGTTTCACTCCGAAATCGCCGCACCTGACGTCCCGGACTTCAAAGCGTATTTTTTTGTACTTTGGCGACAAATACGATGAAAAAAAAATTATGAACGTCCTATCTCAGAGCACAATGTACTTCCACCATCGTGATAGACTAGATGCTGTCGAAACATACGACACCACAGATGCCGTCGAAACATACACCACATTTTCTCGTTGCGCGTTTCCTCCGGGCAATCGCGGCGATATTGGCATATGTACGAGCAATTTGCTGCATTATGATAAAAATAAGTTTCCCCTCCCCTAAACCGCGTCTAGTTCAAACAGTTTCCTCAGAAGTGAGATGGCAGCACTAATCGTTGAGTCAGTGAGCACTTCGCGCGTTCGCTTATCCAGTCGCAAACACAGAAAACTCAAGTGAAATCAGTTTATCCCGCACGACAGTGCATTATGCGACATAAGGCAGGCCTGGCATGCGACTGCGTGGCAAAGCAGGGTGGGCAACAGTTGTCTCTCGCACATCTACACCAATAGAGAGCTTATTTCAACCTGACGTCACGTATGCATAAACAGATGGCGTCAGGAATCGCGCCGGGAGAATGGCGCGCTCGTTCTTATTAGAGGTGAGTTCCTGCAGGTGCTATGGGCGAAATTTCCAGAGACTGCCTCGTAGCCGGCTTTGGCGCGTAAAACCACGGCAATTATTCCATTTTAATCACTGTCCGACCAAAGACGTCGAAACGAGGAAGCAGCAAAGGGGTTGATTAAAGCGCAGCGCCCTTTATCGCTCCGCAGCGCACTCACGCGTCCGGCACCGCCCGGCTCTGTTCCGTTCGTCGACATCCGGTCTCGATTGCTTACTGGCTCTTCGCAGCGAACAGTAGCAGCGAATCGGCGCGTGAGGGCGTACACCTCGGTTGTTCTGCTAGCACCGACAGAAACAAGACGGAGTAGCCGGCCGTCTTTGACGCCCCTGGTCACCTCGATTTGTGATTATACACTCTTAACGTTAGGAAAAAGCTTGAAAATAGGAGCCGACCGCTATAGCAGCAGCTGTTACTAACTTTCTGGGACCATTACTAACTCCTTGCTGCCTTTTTATTACCTACGTTTAGAAGGCTGATTGACAGATTGATTGATATGGGGGGTACCATATGATTATGACAGACGCCGTAGTGGAAGACTCTGGAGATTTCGACCACCTGAGGTTCTTAACCCTTTAACTGGCAAGATGAGAAAAAACAGTGCAAACTTTTTTCTGCTGTTCTACTTCTTCTCTAGAACCACCATAGAACCATCACAACAATTTCATGATGTTTCATGAAAAAAAAGATAGAGGAGATCAACAATTTTGTTGACCTGCCAGTTAACACTAAAAAGGCGGAGCTTAAAAAAAAACATCACAGCATATTCACAGAGTAAATTTCTCATGAGAGGGGCGAAGCATTTGTCCGTTTGTTCGTCGATCTGTCTATTCGTCTGTCTGTCTGTCTGTCTGTCCGTCTGTGTGTCCGTCCATGTGTCCGTTCGTTCTCTCTGTCCACCTGTCCGTCCATCTGTTTGTCCGTCTGTCTGTCAGTCTGTCCGTCCGCCTGTCCGTGCGTCTGTTTGTCCATGCGTCTGTCTTTCTGTCAGTCAATCATCAATCATCAACATATCAATCAATCAATTTGGGAGTCGAATCGAAAAGGACCAGCCAAAAAGAAGGAGAGAAGATGCCAAACTCATCATTTTCTTTGGAAGAAAATGTTAGGGTTGCATAAGTAGCAATGATATTGCCACGTTCCATTTCTCAAGTTTTGTTATCGCCCCAAAACACTACACAATTCTCAGCGCAAACCGCGCCTGCATTTTTCGAGAAGCTTCCGGACTGTAGTAGATCATTTCGATAAGATCACGCCTACTCTGCGAACTGTACAGATTATTCTGGAACCTACGCCACCGCCAGCCATAATGCTAGAACATTCGATGGCAAGAGTATAAATGCCGACGCACTTCGCCGCTTTACAGTAGTTGATCGACGGCCGACGCTCCGTTCGCCGCTATCAGTCCGAGACTGCTACTGTAATCGGACTTTCCGTTTACCGGGCACAGGTGCGCCCAAATAAACAGTTAAATTCCAACGCAAAGTCTCCTGTGTTCGGCCACGTCACGACCCCGTGACAATATTGCTTATCTCTATGTGAGCTAGGTAATCTGCTAACTGGTCATTTAAGTACCTATGTGGCAATTGTTAAGCGTTATATATATATATATATATATATATATATATATATATATATATATATATATATATATATATATATATATATATATATATATATATATATATATAGTACAGGAAAGAAGCGTAAACCTAAGGGCTCATTTTCCCGTGTTTTGACGCAATTTAAATGAGATCTAACAGACAATAATGCCAAGGAATGTATAGGGGAAGCTATAGAACCAATGTAATGTAAAGAAGAAGCAAGAAAAGTGGGTGAAAAAATAACTTGCCGTGAGCAGGAATCGAACCTACGACCTCCGAATCACGCGTTCGATGCTCTCGAACGCGTAATTCGAAGGTCGTAGGTTCGATTGCTGCTCATGGCAAGTTGTTTTTTCCGATTCCTTTAAAATGACGATGCAAAAGGATAGGATTAAAAGGTATAGAGACAGAGAGAGAGGAAAGGAGAGAACGCGGCTACGGGGAAGCGACATCTGGAAGTAAGAAGAAAATAGGAATGATGTACAAGGTTGCAGGAGTCCGAGGACGGGCACCACTCGGCGAGAGCTCTTGTCGGCGCCCGGAGATGGCGTAAGGCGAGCCTAATCGGCCAGAGCTGCGCTGTCGCTGGAGATCACGGGGGCACAACTGGTCGGCATGAAATCCACAGAGCGAGTCACAGCTGCGGTCCCTATTCTAGGGACCATAGTGCCGCGGCGCATCGCCTCTCCACGCGAACGGCGCCATGTTAAATTCGTCATTGGTTCATGATGACTGTTACGTCTTACGGGTCATACAAAAAAGCGGCTTCAGTTGGAAGCGAATATTACAAATGGACATCGGCTGACAGTGGTACACTGTACTTTTTAATCTTAGCTTGTCATAGACTATACGTCACCAGCGCCTCGTGACCTTGAGCGCTTTTTTTTTTCTTCAAATGCGTGGCTGTCTCAGTGTGATCGCGCGCGCACGCGTGGACAAGTGACCTCCCGCGGCGATCTCTATAACGAAGAGAGCGCCTTGTTCAAATCAGCCATTGGCTGATATATGGGTTCTCTACGATTACTTTTTTAGCGTCTTCCGCCATCTGTTGATAGAAGAGAAAGCAATTTTAGTTGACTTAAATATTTATTGTGAATTCCATGCCGCGTGCTGCGCTTTAATATTGGGCTCGCGTGTTGTCAGGAGACTCTACTACCGATCGGCAGCGTTTTCTTACCATGCTCGAGAAGTGTTGCAGCGCGCCTTTAAAGTTCTCATGGCTTGATATTTGCAAAGTATGACGAGCTTTGATGTCTGCATTCCTTAGCCGAGGTTCAAAAGACATTAGAAAGTAAAATTACTCATTACGCTCATCACTGCAGTCATCGCAAACTTCCATTTTCCCCTTAACTATACCAACAGGAAAGAAAAAAAGAAGATTGGTAGTAGAAGTGGTATTTCGGCCACACGCGCTCTCTTCCTGCAGCTAGAGAGATGGCGCACCCTCTCTCTCCCTGTGCGATCTCTTTCTCCACAGGGAGAGGGTGCGGTGCGCGTCGTAGAGCCACGCGCAGCTTCGCAGACGTGCGGCAAGGTTTTTACACCAGCGTTTCCGGCAGTTATTACACTATGTCAGATCCAACAGAGTTAGCTAGCTACTAGCCTTACCTTTTTATTAAAGTTTGTTAAAATCACATTCTTTGCTCCGACCTTGAAGTGAAACTGATGTTATTTGCGTCAGCATGCCTTTTTTATTTCATTTTGCCAAAATGGAACAACCTTGCGTAGCAACTGAAACGGTCTTTGTGTAAGTCGTTTACTTCTACTAAATTATCTATTTCTGGCCATTGGGTGGTGGTGCCAGTCAAACTATACATTTTGTCACAATGCAGAAACAGCAGCAGTTGAATACCGGACAACTCACTTTAATTGTACCAGAATACTGGCAAACTGACTGGATGAGAACCTTGTCTTTCTCTCTCGCTGCGCGTGTTCTCCGTTGTTCTCTGGGTGCTGCATATTCAAAGCGGCAATATGTAGCTTTTTCCCTCCTTTCCAACCGCACCTCATGCGCGATTTATTTATGTGGTAACTGCACCAACCGTACGTGCAGTTGCATAGCTGTGCCGATGCTCAAGGAGTCGTTCATGTTCCTCGCAGCAGTGGTGAACGCGAGCCCGTCGCCTGGGGACCTGGGATGCCCGGCGCCCCGTTCGCCCGAGAACGGCCTGGCCTTCATCTTCAACAGGGGTCGCCTGGTACACTACCGCTGTCACTCTGGATTCACGCTGCGTGGTCACGGCCAGGCGCTCTGCCACCACAACACCTGGAACAGGCCCGCTCCCCTGTGCCTCCCGAAAAATGGTACCCTTTTCGGTTCTGGCTCGAGCAAATCCATTCCCGTAACCGGAAATGGAGGTCATCATGATGAGCCTGACTACGCCCACTGCAGGGAAAAAAATCACCCCCATTATCCGCCAATCAACCCGGCCTTCCGTCGCCACATTATACCTGCGAGCTTCATAATCTCATCGGCCCACCCAACTTTCTGTCTCCCCTTCGTGCGATTGCCTTCTGTGAGAATCTAGTCAGTTACTCTTAATGACCAGTGGTTATCCTGCCTACCTGCTACGTGCCCGGCCCATTTCCATTTCCTCTTCTTGATTTCAACTATGATATCCTTAACCCCGTTTTTTTCCTTCACCCACTCTGCTCTCTTTTTGTCTCTTAAGGTTACGCCTATCATTTTCCTTTCCATCGCTCGCTGTATCGTGTTCCATTTAAGTTGAACTTTCTTTGTAGGCCTCCAGGTATCTGCTCCATAGGTAAGTACTCGCAAGATGCAGCTGTTATAAACGTTCCTCTTGAGAATTAGTGGCAGATTAACATTGATGATTTGAGAACGCTTGCCGAATGTGATCCACCCCATCCTTATTCTTCTAGATATTTCACTCTCTTGGTTCGGCTCTGCGGTTACTAACTGTCCCAAGTAGAAATGTTCAGTCGCAACTTCCAGCGTCTTTACACCAACCGTAAATTGCTGTTTTGCTGTCGAGACTGTTGCATATTACTTCAGTTTCACGCATATTATTTTCAGACCCACTTTTCTACTTTCCGTGCCCATTTCAGTAATCATGAGCTGTGATTCATCCCCGCAGTTACTCATCAAGGCAATGCCATCAGTGAATCGAAGGTTACTAAGATACTCTTCATTAAATCTTATTCCTAACTCTTCCAAATTTAGCTTCTGAAAACCTTCTGTAAACACGCGGAGAACAACATTGGGGAGATGGTGTCTCCCTGCCTTACACCTTTATTTATTGGCATTCTACCGCTTTTGTTTTTTATGGAGAGCTATAGTGGCTATGAATCCACTCTAGATTTCTTGCAGCATCTTCTTTCACGGTTTTTCGATGCCCTGATTACGTAGTGCCTGCATTACTGCTGATGTGTCGACTGAGTCAAACGCTTTCTCGTAATCTATGAAGGCTATGTATAGGGGTTGGTTGTATTCCGCGCATTTCTCTCTATTACCTGATTTAAAGTATGAATACGGTCTATAATGAAGTAGCCTGTAAAAATTCTGCTTGTTCGTTTGGTTGATTGAACTGTAATATTGCATTAATTCTTTTAGCTATTATTTTTGTGAATATAGTTTGCACAGAACGAAGAGCTAGTAAGCTGATCGGTCTGTAGTTTTTCAAGTCCTTGACGTCTCCGTTCTTATGTATTGAGATGATGATGGCGTTCTTTCAAGATTCTAGTAGCCTTCCCTTCAAGAGACACTTCGAATACAAGGTGGTCAGTTTTTCTAACACAATCTCTCCAGCATCTTTCAAAAGGTCTCTTGTTACCTTATCCTCACCAGCGGCTTTGCCTCTTTTAGGAAAGAGGCAGCGGCTTTGCCTGCATTCCTTCTAGGGCTTTCCTTCTTCCCCTGTCATTACTGGTAGGATGTCGAATTCCTCTGCACTATTATTCTTTCTCATGATACCATCCTGGTTGTTTTGGCTTCTGTACAGCTCTCTGTAGAAATCCTCCGCCCCCTCGACTATCCAATCCATATTGGTTATGATAATGTCTTCCCTGTTCTCTAATGCACACATTCAATTTTTGCCCATGCACAAGTCTGCCTTCACTGCTTTGAAGCTATCGCCGCAGTTTAGAGCCTGCTCAATGCTCTCCATGTGATACCTTCTGATGTCGACTACCTTAAGCCTATTGATTAACTTTGATTTCTCCGGCCACTAGCTCCATTTTATTGGTTGCATTCGAGGCTTTCATCATTTGTCGTCTCCTAATAGAATTTTTCGTCTCCTGAGATAGTAGCTTGCCAGTGTCATGTATAGTGACTGTACCTCCGCCTTCTATTTCACACTTTTTAATGATAGAGTAAGATTATCGTTCATTGTGTCAACGCTAACGTCGGTTACCTAGTTTAGTGTCTCGAATCTATTCTGAAGAGAAACTTAGAATTCTTGTATTTTCCCTCTCACCGCTAGCTCCTTAATTGGCATTTTGCGTATTAGCTTTTTTTGTAACATCGCAGTGAATACGAGCTCTTACTATTTTATGGTCGTTGCATCGGATTTTGCCAACTACTTCTACATCCTACGCAATGCCTAGGTGTGCACCCAAAATGTAGTTTATTTCAGATTTAGTTTAGCCATTAGGACTTCACCCCGTCTCCTTAGTTAGCCCGTTTTCCGAAGAAGGTGTTCGAAATCTGTACATTATTACGCTGTGCAAACTCTACTAATAACTCCCCTCTGGCATTTCTAGAGCCGATGCCATATTTCCCCACTACATGGTCTCCGGCCTGTTCCTTGCCCATTTTGGCATTGAAGTCGCCCATCAGAACAGTATACCGTGTTTTTACTTAATAATGGCTGACTGTGCGTCTCCATAGAAGCGTTCAACCAAATGATCATCATGGCGCGATGTAGGTGCGTAGGCCTGTACCACCTTGTACTGGTTGTTTTCTTAAACTTAATTGTGATACTTACCACTATCTAACTGATGCTATAGTGTTCCTATATGTGGCCAGCGATATTTTTGTGTAAATTAAACATCACACTTAGTTCTTTTCTGTCACCTAATCCACGGTAGCATAAAACGTGTTTGTTCTTCAGCACTGAAAGAGCCTCACGTGTCCTAACTTCGCTGAGCCCTATGTTGCATCCCATTTGACACCCTGTAATTCCTCGAATAGCACAGCTAAACTACACTCTAAAAAAAAGCGAGTAAAAAGGGTGTCTTTTTGTCCCACAACAATAATCGTCATCTATATTGCGTTCCATTTTTGCGCTATCGCCCCGCGCTAGGTACATTCCGGTCACGATCGACATGCCGATTATCAGGGTTACATAGCATTCTCGATAGGCAAGTGGCCAGCGCCGAGTTTTCAAAAAAGGAAGCTCACGCAAGCCTGATGATTATTGTTGTGGGACAAAAATACACCCTTTTTACTCGATATTTTTTTAGAGTGTAGCTTCACTATATAGCGTTCTAGCGTTGAAGGTAGCTGCTGTGTACCGAGGTGGTGTCTCTGTAGCCACCCTCCCACCTGGATGTGCAGTAGCCATGTTAAGTGCAGGAGGCAGTTCGGGCTGCCACCTTCTGCGCGGCTGTCATAATAAACCAGTTTGAATCAACCTACAGCTCTCCGAGTACATCCTCTCGTGTTCCATTTATCCACCGGTGTGAGTCGTACACAGCAGTGGCGGCGAAGATGGGATAGTATCGTATAGTGCGTACGTTGAAACATCGCGCAATTTCATCGTGACAATGACTTCCACACTAGGCCTGGTCGAGCTTTTTGTTGCGTCAATGGCGGCCAAGTGGGATTCGTACGTAGCAAAGTTCAAGTTCTTCTTTGATGCAAACGCGATGTTAGGGGAGAAGCGTCGTTTGGCAGTGTTCTTCGGCGTGTGCAGCGCGGACACGTTTGAATTACTGAAATCCCTCATGGCCCCGGCGAAACCGGAATCCAAAACACTTACCGCAGGGTTCGAGGTGCTCAAGGCTCATTTTTCGCCGCAGCCATCAGAAGCGGTGCGCAAAAATACATTTTACAAGCGGAACCAAGCACTACAGGAGACAGTATCGTCTTACATCACAGAGATCCGGTGCCTGGCCCAGCACTGTGATTTCCCAAACCTCAAAAAAATGCTTAAGGATCGCCTCGATTGTGGCCTCTGAGATGAGCACCTGCAGAACAGATTGTTCGCAAATAAGCAGCTGACCTTTGCCGTAGCCCAGGAGGAGGCTCTGGCGACAGAAGCGACTGCGGAAAGCACGATCGTTGTCCGGCAGTCTGAAGAAAATGACCCTGACGCGACCGTTGCCGCGACAAACCAAGTGAAACGCCAGGAACCGGCCGCACTCGAGCAGACAGACCGTCCGGCTACGAGTAACGGCCCCTGCTACGGTTGTGGAGGGGCGCACCTCCGCGCCGAATGCCGTTTCAAGAACGCGCAGTGCAGAGCATGCAAGGAAACCAGCCACATCGAAAGAGTCTGCCGCAGCGGCGGCTCGAGTGGCCGGCAGCAAAACCTGCCGCCTCGACAGCCACGGAATTCTGAAGAGGCGTACGGCGTAACCGGGTTACCTCATGATGAGTGCTACTACAACAACCATGTCGGTGCAGAAGGCTCACAGGTGTCTCGCAAGCTTCGAGCAAAGGTTGCTATTGAGGGCAAGACTTGAGAAATGGAGGTGGACTCTGGATCGGATTTCTTCTTCCTCAACAAAGGGACATTCCGCCGCCTCCGGCAGTGCAATGAAGAGCTGACACTGGCTGACTTCTCTTCGACAGTGGTCGATTATCAGCTGAGTCCAGTGGATGTTATGGGGTACTCCAGCGCGCATGTGGAGTACAAGGAGTTTGCGGGCGTGTGGACTGTACTGGTAGCAAGGGGAACCTCACCCGCCTGCTGGGAGTTGACTGGTTTCGACCACTCGGCAATATTATTACTGGTATTTCTTAGGTAAGAAAATTGCCGGTCGGCTCTGTGCTTTCCGAGCTAAGTGAGGTATTTGAAGAGGGCCTGCGGAACAACGTGGGTCCCCCAGTCTCTCTGCGCCTTGACCCCAACATTCAACCAGTGCGTCTCAAAGCATGAAGACTACCTTTTACAATTCAACCTGGAGCCTGTGACACAGCCAGCGTGGTAGCCGACGTGCATGCTTCACGAAGTACTATCGGCGTCAAATGAAACCCGAACAGTGGAGCGCGCGTTTCAAGCATTATAAACAGTATAGTGTTGGCCGTCCAGTCATCACCATTGACAGGCGTGCACATCCGGTTTGGCAGCACTGCGTGATCCCCCTACAGTGTGTTATCTCCGTTTCTGCTCTAGTTT